CTGTGACAGAACTTAAAATGTATTAACTGGTGATTTGGATTTTTTGAAGAACAAAATATGTTTTCCCAAACCGTCTCCCAATCAATCTGATCCTCTGATAAATCACTAGCCCAAATCATTGGTATTGAGAGTTGCTTTTGGTTTGGCTCAAGAAGGCGGGAACTTAAACTAAGTGTTCTAAAGTATGGCTGTATTTCACAAGGATTCTGACACAACAACGCGAAGCATACGCTTTCATCGCGTTTAAGGAGGATACACGTCAAACTTAATGAAACATTGGAGGGCGCATGCTGAAAGGCATTGGAATGCGCTGTCTTTGACTGCTCACGACTTCATTCCACAATTTCTGAGTACATTTACATGGACACCAATACTCCGGTTTAAAAGACAATACTCTGAGTCAACCATGTAAACAGCCGATTTTTGATTACCTTAAAGGACCACCAAGTCACAAAATGCGGAGGTTTTCCTTTCCGTTCCCCATGCGGTATCAAACTTCATTAAAACAGAAGTCAAAAGTTAAAATAAAACACCCAAAATTGCATGAAACTCCGGAGAGCCTGGTGATGCCACATTAATTGTTTTATTCTTTTTACTCCCTTCAGATTCAACACGCATGATCGCCTTCATCAAATTTGCTTAAACTAAGTGTTCTAAAGTATGGCTGTATTTCACAAGGATTCTGACACAACAACGCAAAGCATACACTTTCATTGCATTTAAGGAGGAAACACGTCAAACTTAATGAAACATTGGAGGGCGCATGCTGAAAGGCATTGGAATGCGCTGTCTTTGACAGCTCACGACTTCATCTCACACTTTCTGAGTACATTTACATGGACACCAATACTCCGGTTTAAAAGACAATACTCTGAGTCGACCATGTCAACAGCCGATTTTTGATTACCTTAAAGGACCACCAAGTGTCGAAATGTGGAGGTTTTCCTTTCCGTTCGGCATGCGGTATCAAAATCCATTAAAACAGAAGTCGAAAGCTAAAAATGAAACACCCAAAATTGCATGAAACTCCGGAGAGCCTGGTGATGCCACATTAATTGTTTTATTCTGAAACTTGCCTTCTAAAAGTGCTTCCTTGGTCTTATCCATATTTCTTTGCACGTTGAACACACGTCCACCACAACAGGAAGTAAAAAAAAAACTGCAACTTCGTTAAATGCATTTTTTTAATGCGTTAATTATTTCAAATTAATAGCATGCGTTAACACTAATTTTGACAGCGCTAGAATGAACACAACAGATCAACAAACCCAGAGAGATTCAGGATAAAAATAGGAGAACCAATATCCTGCGCTGGGCAGATGCCATAAGCAGGTAGACCGTCAGCGGATCAATCAGATAGCAGGCAGACAGATTTATTCGACTGACTAATTGATTTATTTATTAAATATTTGCATGTGTCTCCTCCAGGTGATGATCTACGAGCTGGCGGATTTTGTTCAGGGGTTTCTGACCGAACACAATGTTCCTCCATCCAGCTCTTTCCACGAGGAGATGCTGAAGAACCAGCGGCGTCAGCAGGAGCGTCTGGCTCTGGAGGAGCAGGAGAAGATTGATCAGCGCCGCAGACTGGAGGAACAGATGGTACGGCACTTATAAGAGCTCATGAAGCACCTCAGTGAAGATGTTTACATCAAAACCCATCACAATGCAGCAGTAATCCACTATCATGTGCTGTTTTTGATCAGTTTAAGTGGGCGGGGCTAACTGTAGACTGAAGTATACACCCACTTCTGTGATTGGCTGACAGTTTTGCATACTAAACAGAGAAGCTGTCTTTAAAATAAGCTGATTTCAAAGGACTTCTGAAATTTACAGGCTAAGCTCTATGATTGAAAATTAAGGGAGTTTTGCTTTCTTCCCTCATGACCCTTTTAAGGTGTACCTAATAGGGGACAGATATTAGTGTGCAGAATCACATGACCTTGTTCTTATTTTATTCAAATGTTTTCTAAAGTTCATTTATAATGTAATTAAGATTTTAACCCTAAAAACCCCTCGTGATGCAGCAGTAATTGAGTGTCATCTGTGCTGTTTTTGAGCCTCATCAGTTTCAGTGGGCGTGGCCAACTGTAGACTCCGAAGTATACACCCACTGCTGTGATTGGCTGACAGTTTTGCATATTAACAAAGCTACTCAGGCAGTGCAGTAGTAGTGGCCGTCAATGTTTAGAGGAGGCGGAGCTTATCCACTCTATTACATCATAGATCAGCACACTCCAGAAGTTGTTGTGTTGCCATCAATATAAGCTGAGTTTAGAGGAAACCGTGCAGTTCTGAATCTTGTTTTAAAAGCACTCTGAGCTCCTAAATTGCTTTTTCAGTTTATGAACATTTCAATACAGCTTGCATTTCAGTATTTTAAGGACAATACATGATTAAAGTGTGTGGTGTTGTTTTCATCAGAGCTACACATTTATTTTTAGTGTTGCTGTGCTTTTAGTATGTGTCTGCATTTCTCAAACACAGCAAAATGAGATCCTTGCAGAAATTCAGAGGAGAGAAGATGAGAGGAAAGAAGAAAAGAGAAAGAAAGAGATGGCCAAACTGGTGAGATCCTACTCTGTTTTACACAAACATATATATATATATATATATATATATATATATATATATATATATATATATATATATATATATATATATATATATATATATATATATATATATATATATATATATATATATATATATATATATATATATATATATATATATATATATATATATATATATATATATATATATATATATATGTATATATATATATATATAAATATATATATATATATATATATATATATATATATATATATAAATATATATATATATATATATATA